TGTTCCTGATGATTACCTGAAGATTTATAGACAAGCCAACCCCCCTTTACTTCCTGAAATTTTGGGAACAGATCCTTCAGTTGGGCACATACCTTACAATGTAAATAACACTGAGTAAAAATTAAATGCCCGACAGTTACAAGTGCAACACTGGTACAAACAGCTTATAGTGTTTCATTACAGTAATGTGCTAAAGAGCACCTCAGCACCCATGTTCCCGCTATACAGAGTTACTAATGAATTAAGCTCTGTTCCATTAGCAAAAGAGAATTTTAAAAGATGCAAGAGAAACATCATGCATACTTACTTCATCATAAGTTGCATTTTCATCCATTTGCATTGTCTTTCGCCCCAACCCAGCTTGCATATGTACCAGTTGCTCACTCTCCATAGGTGTTCGCTCATATTGGTGAGGAAGCAGATAAAAGTTAACAGGCAATATTTTTGCGGGTTTGCTAGGGAGCACTGACAGCATTCGCCTTTTACCCTGTCCTTTGCTGAAAAACCCAGGAAATTATCTGTTGCCAAAAAATTTCAATTACAAACCAAAATAATTACCATCAAATAATGTAATGTTTCTTTATGCCAATATTAAATAAAAATAATGTAGTTGCAAAACCTGGTCATCTCAGTTTGGATGGTGGCCCTCTGCTGACCAGTGTGCTGCCTATGGAGGCTGAATCATTAAATTAATTTAATGAAAGTAATTTAATAAAACTATGTATGCACAAATACATATACATAACAGGGAATTCCTTTACCACAATATCCTTACTAACTATCTTTACCACAATAATAAATAAAAATACACAAAAAAACTGGAATTATCCTGACTGGGTCCAGCTGCACTGCCTGAAGTCAGCAAAGACAACAAGTGCCTGGCTGACCTGACAACTTCACTGTCCTGTAAAAACAGTTTAAGCTGATTTTTTTTTTGTATCGTATGTCATCTTATAAACATTCATTATTGGTCTAATGGTCCGCTGTTTATAATGCTTTTTGCTAGATATCAGTTCAGGGTGCAGGGTAATGGTACTGAACATGAGAGAGTACAATAATTAGTAATTAAATGACTTACAATTTGAGATGCACTGATTGCAATTGGTTTGGCCGATTCCAATTTCTGTTTTTTTTTTGTTTGTTTTTTTGTACCTGCTGATACTGATTTTTGTCAATTTCTAAGAACTACAGTTGACAGCATATACAAACAATCTATAGTTGTTGTTTTTTCAATGCAACATTTTTTATTCTTATTAAATGGATGCATTACCTTTCACATTAAATTCTTACATTGTGTCAATTAATTCAGTTAGAATAATAAGAAACTGTGGAGTTGTTCAAATGAAATTAGTATCAACAAACTCCATCTTTACACTGCAGAGGAAACAGAAGCTGCATCTGAAGTGGCATTAGATGTATCAAAGTCCCTTTAAGGGATATTCTATAGTCTTTGGATGTATTTACACAGACTGTTTCATGAAGCTGAGGTGTCAAAGTGATTTATTACACCACAAAATTGCAGATACACGAATAAGTCATTGTTGCTTGTTGAACTTGTCGACTTTTGATGAGTTTGAGTGCGTGATGCGCTCTGTGAAAAGGGTTTTTATTTTATTTTATCCATTTTATACTATCCGCCTTCATTTAGCAAGTGAACTCGCGCATTTATAAACAATTTTCAAGTTCAACATGTTTTGTTCCGTTCAGTTGTGGATGCTGCTGATTCACTGAGATCGCGTGTGTGTGTTTTCCTTTGAAAAAATTTCCCCAGAAATAACTCGCTATTTAATGCATTTTCCCTTACAAATTGAATTATCAGCATAACAATTTGCCATCCTTCTAGAAAAATGTGCATTTATGTTAAAATTGTAACATAAATTATCAAGTTTAG